GTGGCCGTGGCTTTGCAGGCGCCAGGACAAGGTGAAGTTCGAGTCACTGAGCTGCGAGCTGGAACGCCCGGCTCCTCATTCCAGAGCTGCTGTCCCCATCTCTCCATCCTGGCCCAGCTGCCCCTGCTGTGGGGCTGTGACTGCCATGGGGCTGGGGATGATCCCTGCTGGTTCCCTGAGTGCCTCGGGACAGGGCTGTGCCCCTTGCTCCTTTGGACCATCAGGCCAGTCGTGCAGGGAGGGCGGTGTCCCTGTGCCTGCCACAGGCTTGGACAGCAGGATGGGTCACGTCCCACCCCAAAAGAGCAGCAGGTGGTTGGTTTGGGGGATTTGCCACTTGGCAATGAGCCAGAGTGCTCCTGGCTGGTTGGGTGGGGGGGACTTGGCCCCTGGGGCTGGTGGGCACAGGGGGTGCTGGAGGGGGTCCTGCTGTATTCACATACTGTGAGCTGCTCCCCATGGGAACCGTGACCCAGGCCACTTTGGCCTTCGCAGTATCGATAGGACGTCGGAGGTCGCAGCCCTCGGACAAGAGCCTCCCGACAGAGATGGGAGCTCTCCCCACCACGGGGCCATCCTCAAGGTCGGGGGACACGGTGCCTGGCGCTGGTGGGCACAGCAGATGGTTTGGCTGCGCATCTCCTAAGGAGAAGGCGACTGAGGAGCCACTCTCTGCTCCTGGTTTGTATTTAATAGTGGGGAGAGGAGGGAAGGGTGCATTTACACTAATAAAACAGAAGGATGAACTGGTGAGTCTGGCTGATTCTTCCCTGGGACACCTCTGGGTGTCCCATTGGGGGTCTGTGTGGTGGTAGGTGCTGGCTGGTTGCACAAAATCTGGCAGCAGCTGGCTGGACTGCCTACTTGCAGGGATGCTGCTTTCCCCAAGCTGTCTGCAGCATCCTTTACCTGAGCTGGGAGACTACTGCCTGTCCTTAGTGAGGCCAGGGGAAGCCCGTCGGTTTATGGACAGGCTGGCAGGCGCTAGGCCAAGCAGGCACTTGGAAATACCAGCTTGAACCCCTTGGGGCTCACAGCAGGGGTCCTGCACCTCTTCTGATGCCCACATGTCCTGCGGTCACTATCTGCTACGGTCACTGGTGGTGCAGCAGGATGCTGAGCCCCTTGCCACAGGAAGCCCACGTGCAGCGTGCTGAGCTCTGGGCAATGCTCTGTCTTTCCTGGTGCCATAAATTTGTGGTCCCACTGACCAGGTTTCCAGCCCTCCTCGGCCCCAGCTGCGGGTGGAAAAGCACCATGGTGAGGGGCTGGTGCAGCTGTGTATTGTCCCCGTAAGAGCCTTCATGGGCTGTACGTGAGTAATGGGGGACCCCTCGCCCATGTCAGAGCAGAGGTCGGGTGCCTGAGTGGGGAGAGCTCTGCCTTCCAGCATCTGGGATCAGCTTCAAAGGAAACTCCCAGGCTAGAACCTATGTCTGAGCACTGTGTTGAATCGTTAGGGCTGGACCTGCCCGCTCTGCATTGGTTTCACCCTTTTGCAGGCTGTTTTGTATCTCAGGGCTTCTCAGCACCTTGTGATTTTCCGTTCTGTGTCAGGCAGAGCACCACGGTCCTGCCCCGGAGTATTTCACCACCTACAGCTCCTATTTGCATTACGAGGAGCAGGGACTGTGTCCTCTGCCTGTGCTGGCTGCTCCAGGCATGATTTTCATGGCTCATTGTGCTCTTCCTACCAACCCTTTGGTCATCATGTTTTACTTGTTCGTGAAACACACGTATCAAAGAGACAGTCCCAAGAAAATTAACTGAACCTGCTTGCTGTTAGTTATCAAGGCTGTTGGTGCTCAGCAAAACTCATGGAAAGCCCCTGGGCTATGTGGCATGCCTTCCCCAAAGATACCTCATTCATATATTCCTGCTCCAGTCTTCATATCCATGGTGTAGGAGCGTCTATGTTTAAATATAATTTTATTATATGTCAGGCAATAACTGTTAGCTTGCTCTGACTATTTCTATTTTTGATCTTCCCTGAGCATATCCTTAATTCCCTTTAAATGCGAATCTGGGACAGAGGGAGCGAGGCAGATGCAGGTGCATTACAGATACGTTTCTCCTCTGAAAAGCAGACCTAGGAGTCGGATGTGATTAGGCGTTAGAAGAGTATCCAAATGGTAATAAAGCAAACCAACTTCAAATCCACTTGGCTGCAAAAAGAAACCCAAAATTGTAATTTAATTGTCACAAGACGGTCTAGATAGTGTTGCTCTTGCCTCCTCATTGCTTTTTGCCCAGACCAACTTAGAGCTATTTGCATACTTAATGCTCTGCGCTATCAACGCCAGCGAAGTCCCCCCTGCTCCGACATACGTACAAGCAAATGACGGTGCTCATGGCACTCCCAGCACGGTTATTGCTCCCTTTTAAAAGGAACTGGCAGGCTTTGAAGCCGCTTTGGTGTTTGCCAGGTTATTTGCAGCGTCAAAACATGCAGAAGCCCTGGGGAAGGATGTGCAAACCTTTTGGGGGGGTGGTGGTGGTGGTGGTGGTGACAGGAGCGGGCTGGCCTGCTTTGCTGGGGCCCAGAACAACCTTCCTGGGCCTGGGTGAAGTAAATGGGTGCACTGGGCAATGGCAGAGACCTGTGATGATGGGGAGATGGACACAACTGTGCTCTGTCCCTGCTCCTGCCCGCGCAGGGCTGGCAGGTGTGGGCAGGGCGATGGACCAGGATGGTGACATCCTTGAAAGAGGCATCATTCTTGCTGACGTGGGTGGCTGAGCAGACAGGGACTTTCTGCAATCCCTGTTCCTATTTGAGGGGTACTTCTAGCCAACGTGCAGATTTTTGCACAGACGCAGTTGCAGAGGCAGAGCAGCGAAAGGGCAATTTTCCCAATGGGGCAGGAGAAAACAGGTGTCTGCTGCCTGTAGACTTCTGTTGACCTTGAGAAAATCTTCTAAGAGCGTTACTGGCTCACCACGGCCTTTGAGAAGAGCAATGTAGGTTCCTCTTGGGGAGTGTTTTGGAACAGGGTGCAAAGGGCTCAGAATCGAAGCACTCTGAAGCAGGAGAGATGCCGGCTGTGTGCACTGGAGCTGGGCGGACGCCTGCATCCCCTCTCCTGCCTGCACCATGGCAAGGAAAGGGACTTAAACTGGGGAAAACCAGAGTTGCTGCTGGGCTGTTCTGCCCCCCACCAAAATTTGCTCCCCCCTGCAGTCATGCAGGTGCCTCTCTGCAAATGCAGCAGTGACCTGGCAAGCGGGCAAGGCAAAACCTACTTCTCCAGCCCTGCTCGGGTCACTTCTGGCTGCGCTAAACCCCGTGCCAGAGTTACTTCAGCCCTGGCAATGTTAATCAGCTTGATAGCTGACCTTTGGGAGGATGTAGGAAACGTGGCCGTGCCAGGAGAGGGCTGGAGGGCAAGGGGAGCACAGTGCCCTTTTGTTCCTGTGCTTTTGTTGGGAAGGAGCCAGCGGTGCCTTGCTGCCTGTCCCACAGGAGCAGCTCCACCAGCCGCAGAGCGGGACCCAAACCCAGAAAACATTTCCTCCTGGCTGCAAGCGAAGGCAGGAGAAGCTGCTCTGCTGGAGGACGAGGCCAGGAGATGACAGACTTTGCTTGTGCCCAATGCCCCAGCTCACAGCCCAACGCGCTGCCGAGCTCCACTGGAGTGTGCGGGGTGCTTTGACCAGGGGCTTTTCTGGCCAAGCTCAGGGAAATCAAAGCATTTTGATGAAGAGGGAAACAGCCGGTAGCTGTAAGTGCAGGCAGGCTGCTGCCGGTGTGTGCCTGCCCGCAGGAGTTTCTCTGCATGGGGGTGTCAGCGCACTGGAGCACTGCAAAGTGAGGGCTGTGTGTCCCCTGCCTGGCCCCACTGACGGGCACCGCTGGTCCATTTTCCCAGCAAGGGGGTCATGGGGAAACAGGCAGGAGCAAAGCAGCAAGTTTGGCACACTCAGGTCATGAGGAGATGCTGAGGGTCACTCCAGGTGTTGACTGTCACCACCAGCATCTCCAGGCAGGAGAGTCTTGGGGAGGATGTGACAGCAGCGAGGCTACATGTCCCATTGCACTCTGGGGCTCACTTCCAGCCCCTCCGCTCCCAAACTGGATCGTTTGTTTTCTTTGAAATGCAGCTTTTCCCTGAGAACAGCTGTAATTGCGGTGCATGGCAGCAGAGACGTGGTGAGAAGTGCCGGAGGAGATGCCTATCCCATGGGCAGAAGGGACTCTTGCTGGCTGCTCCATCCTGGTGCCCCCTTCCTGGGGCTGGCACCACATCCTGCAGGAGCCGAGTCTACCGGGGTTGTCACCTCCACAGTGACAGAAGCCGTCGCCAGCGCAGTCGGTCTTGCCACGGTCAGGTGCCTGGCGT